AATTTAACTCAATAGAAACTTCTTAACATTAACACTATTGTATGCATAAATTAAAGTTATAAAAAATATGACAATAGAAGAGAATATAACTTGCCCATGAATATATCGTGATATGACATCTAAAACATTAAAAGAAAGAAAGACAAAATTCCATTTAACCCAAATATGACTATTTTTAGCAATATTAAAATCAGTCATATTTCCTTCATTATTAAAAAGTCTAAATCTATTAATAGAGAAATTATCTGAAGAAAGAGCAAAGAGAGAAATACCAGTAAGAGTAGCATTAAACATAATAGGGTAAATATTACCTGACATAACTGTTTTGGTTCTTTTTCTCTTTTTATTTTTTAAGTAGTCGTCAACTTGTCTATTGTCGTATAATTCTCTTTCCAAAGAAGTTTCTCTTCCATATTATATAGTTGATCTGAAGAAGAGAGGGATCAAAAAGATAAGGATATACAATAAAGGAGACAAACAAGAGAAATAACATGTGAAGCTTATGTGCGATAAATCTCATGTGATACGTTAAGAGTGTACATCCAAATATGTTCGTACAGAAACACTTTGAACAGAATACCCACGAAATAGTACCCGCATAAGCTACTCAAACTAGAGAATCAAATTTATAAATTTGTTTTGAGGTCAAGAGTGCTTCCAAAGGGGCGTATCCTATTTAGTTAATTACATCTTCGGGGTTGCCATATAATACTTTCCATCAGAGGAGTTCTGCTTACAATTGGATGACAACGAGCAAGAGTGTCGTAAAAGATAGTTATCTCAAAGGAAACATCCCGACATTTTTTAAGCTCCCGCTAAGCCACATGGCAGAGAGTAAGGGTGTGTTTGGGGCGACGGGGGACCTGTGGCGCGGCACTATGCCGCTACTTACGCCTGTTTGGGGAGGCGTTGCCGCCGTAGCCTCCCGCAATTCGGTGCGAACGCGGAAAGCTCCCTGCTACCTGCGGCCCAGCTTCGTGGATCGGCTTTTTACCCCCGTGTTTTTCCCCCCGGCCCCCCTTCCGCGACAGTAGATCCCACGAAAGAAGAGGAAGCCGCGATCTTCTCCCCTCTCCTTCCCTCTCCTCCGCGACAAAAAAAAAACGTCCTCGGCTGTGGGAGTAACAAGCGAAGGAATAGCTTCTTCCCGGAACCCAAGGAGCACGAGGAAGGTAACCACTTTTTTCCCATTTCCTTCGGTTCCACTCGTTCCCTTCTGAAAATTTCGTTCGATCAGCCTTAAATCCCTCCATAGCGGATGTAAAATCTCACATCCTGGTTTGTTGTCTTCCCCACCGTCCTCTTTTTTCTGTTGATTAGGGTTTTTTTTTGGTTTTTCACATTAGGTTTCATGCGTGGCATTAGGTTATTCGCTATTGCAAAGAAATCATAACTTTCAAGGCTTTTGTTACTGAAATCTGGTCACTATTTTGAATATGTAAAATGGAAAATAATTGCAATTTTTTTCTTGAGTAATATCATCGCGGCTCCATTGGATAGATATTATAAAGGCATAATATTCATACCATTCAATTATTTTGTAATTATATATGTAAATTGAAGTGTTAAATACGAATATTTATAAGAATTGAATGGTATGTATGTAAATTTTCCAATGTTTTTAGTGTTAAATTGTCTAATTGCTTATTTTTAGAATTATTTATCTGTAGTTGATGTGTTGTATCTTTGGGGGCTATACAAATATTCGGAAAACTTCAAAGTTTATGTATTAGATATGTAAATACATAAGATTATGTTGCATATGTGTTCTTATTCATAAACAGAAGTTGTTAGCACTTTGGGGACTTACTAAAGTTCCAAAAAAATTATTGTTATACTCTTCTTTTAAACAGTTTTGCCAAACAGGGGCAGTATGGTCTTTTTTTCCTAAACAGCTGCCCGACAACTGGTTTCATGCAGCTGCACCAAACAGATAGTCAGCTTCCTTGCATCTGCTTCCCCACAGCTGCTTCCTAGGGTAGCGCAGCTGCAGCTGAAAAGCTGAGAAGCTGCAGCTGTGCCAAACAGAGCAGTCTCTTGTGATTCTAAATGGGTAGCAGCGCATAGGTAATCGAGGCCGTGAAATAACCAAGTTATTTGGTAAGAAACATCCCACCGCTATGAGGCCAGACCAGATCGTATGGGTAGAGGGAAAATCATCGTATCCCAAATAGGCAGTGATCTATCAGCTAAGTGAGACCTGCCAAATGACATAGATAAAAATGTCAAAGGAGTGATATGGCTCAATGAGGGTAAGCAATGGAAAAGAGAGAGTGATCATAATAAGGTAGAGATAGTCGGGTCAAGACACCATGGATCATTCATACCAAGCTATTTGAACCCCAAGTCTATCTGGTCGAGAAGGTAGTCGACCAAACTCAACCGGATGCTTCTTTGACAGCAATCCATGAATTGCATCGTCCAAAGAAACCTCAGTAGTCTAAGGTCAATAGAAAGAGACTCTACTTGTGTATCGTAGGGGTTGGATTATGTAGATGTGTGACTTATGCTTGCCAAACATAAGTAACAAGCTGCCTCCATGAGAGAAAAGTGAGCCCAACTTATCAAGCTAGATTGCTCTCATAAAAGGTTTTACACCTCATCTGAGTTGGGGAACCTTCTAATAACTTAGGCGTTCTAGAAACCACCTAAGGTAAAAAAAAATTATGCAAGGCCGATCAGTTTGGAGGAGTGCGGGGACTCATTCTCGGGACATGCAACATGCAATGCAATTATCTGGAGTAATTCTTAGATTGTTTTGGCTCTATTAATATGACTTGGATTATGCCCATGCAATGCGATCTATTTTAAAGCTGACTTGCAGGACGGTTAAGAAAGTAAAGTGCTGTTTTAAATCTTTGGATAATATAATCCTAAATTTTAATTAGCCTTAAAATATTTAAAAAATATATGATATGAACGTTTGAAGCATGAAAGGATATACAATAAGAGTTTTAAATTGATTTTATATGTATGATACGTTTAAGTGAATTTAAAAGCAAAAGCAAAGACATGAAATATGTAAGATTTTAAAGAGAGAACATTTTAATATGTAAATACAAAGGAGTGAGTAAAATATCACATAACAAAAAGATTTACATATACACTGCTCATTAATTTCTATCTAATTACATATCTAACAGCTCAATTTTTACATATTTGTCATCTTATATATGTATATATATGCATTAAAGTTGTATCTCATTTAAAAAAAAAGAAAATAAAACTGATAATTTTTATGTGATATAAAAGATTTGGTTGGTATTAATATAAAAACTCAAAATTTATGACTAGATAAAGAAGAGAAATGATGGGGAAATTAATCGCTCCAAAAACTTGCAATCATGAAATATATTTATGAGACTGGGCCAATGAGAGGGCCAGACGGTGTGGATCAGGCTTATTCGGGCTTTGACTAAGCTTAGGCAGGCTTTGGCAGGGACGATCTCATTAGACTTGTGTGCCATGAAATTTTAATAGTTATTCATATATACAACATCTTAATATCCCAATTATAGAAATATTTATAGTGTATACCACTTGAGAAAAAAAATCAAGATTATTGATATTTTTGGAAAATTTTGGAAAATTAAATATTATATAAGTAAAAATTTATGTGATAGATATTAGATATGCAAATTTATAAGGATTGTAGGGCTTGTATGTGATTCCCCCTTTTAAAATTCAGCCATTTTAGGTAAACACCTATTTCATTTATCTTAGGGCAGCAAATGATTCATTAATTATTCAATGTATCGCATTAGGGCAGCAAATGATTCATTAATTATTCAATGTACCGCACAAAGAACAAAGTCATAAAAAAACGGTCCATTGTTGCTGATTATTCAATGTATCGCAGGGTCAAACATTAGATATAATGGTCGAGATCCGTTTTTTTAGATATTCAATTTTATAAATTAATAGCAATTTCTTTTTCTTAAAATTTCTAAATTGAAAAATTTACATATGTAACACTTACAACTATCATATTTACATATTCAACCGCTAAATTTTACTAATAACATAATGTAACTCTTCGCTAAACCAAACTAGTCATAACAAAATCTCATCAGACGAGAAATAAGAGATAAGTGTTGGCTACTGATGGTAAGTATGGCTGTGAATTTAACTCAAAGATTGTTAATCACTCGAAAATTGATTTGAATTGCAGCTTGCAATGAAAGAAATGAGTCGTTATGAGCCAAAATTTTAGATCAAAATTTTTTCGACCTGATGTTGAGTCACACATGGATGGGCTTGAATTAGCTCGGCTTGAAATATCTTTTTATTAAAAAAAGTTATAGATAATGCTAAATAAAATCTAATTCAACGAGGAAAGAGTAAATTTCGAGCTGGAACAGATACAAATAACTCAATTTGAGCCTTTTTTTTTCTTAATTTCAAGCCGACTTGAGCTGATTTCGTTCAGGAACGGATCCAAATAACATAAATTTAAGCCAAATCATTTCAATTTCAAGCTGAATCAAGTCCGATTCAATTTTAAGCAAAAATGGCTCGAAATAGAAATCAAAGCATTCGAGCTAATGTCGAGTCAGCCCCAACTCGGGCCGAAATCAACACATTATCAACCCTAATGATAATTCCTCACTCTCAAAACTATATAAAGAATGAGCATGCAATTATTTAAAGTTTTGAATCTTATACAACTAATTAATAAAATTAAATTTCAATTTGAGGGTTAATTATGTAAATCCCCTCATTTAATAAGCAATAATTACTAATTAAATCTTGATCCCATAAATCCGGTACAAACGTACGCCTCAGCGACGATACAGACTGTAAATTTAAATTTCAAGCCTGTAACCCTTTATTTCGTTTGTCTGCCCATTCATCAGACCAACGAGAATATATCGGCGAGAAATTGGAGCTTTCCATTATAAAATCTCGCGACCTGCATTTCTCTCTCAAAAAACCTTCTTCTCTCTCTCTCTCTCCCTCCCTCCCAATTTCGTAAGCTTTCGAAGTCAAAAAACCTTCTTCTCTCTCTCTCTCTCCCTCCCAATTTCGTAAGCTTTCGAAGAGAGACGGAGAATGGGGGGCTGCGCCACGAAGCCTCTGGATTTGAGGAAGGAAGCGGAGGCTCCTAAACCGGCTGACGAGCCGGGCGCCGGCGTTGCTGAGCCGGCCGGCGTTTCTGAGCCGGCGAAGGCTGAGGAAGCTGGTTCGGGAGAGGAGAAAGCTGAAGGACAGAAATCTCTAGGCAATCTCTTCAAAGAGAAGGAGGTGAGTTTTCCGAAAAAATATTATATCAGGATTTCGCATCTAGCACGTAGAGTTATGTGTGAAGTCTAATGAAATTACGTCGTGAAGGTGATCGGTCCGATAACGTAAGAGAATATTTTCCTCGTGTTATTCATGTATTATTGTGTGTTATTCAAGTATTATTGAAGTGTTATTGAGTTATTATAACACCGAAAATATTTCCAGAACACAATAACACCTGAATAACACACAATAACATCTGAATAACATGAGATGAATATTTTCTTATGTTATCGGGCCGATCACCTCCACATAATACTTTCATTGGACTCCTCCCGATGTAATATTTTTTCGAGTTTTCCTCTTTGAAAAAATTGATGGATCATCATCATATATACATACTTGGGTAACATATTTTTAATAGGATTTATGTTAGATGTAACGTAAATCCAGTCAAACAAGTAGAACACGAAAGTTAAATACGGTGCATCACTAAATCCAAATTTTCTCTCTTGATTTGGTAAATTCAGATTTATTAAATCCTATTTTTAGGTGAATTTAATTAATTTAATTTGGGAAGAAAAATACAATGAGGATTTGACATTAATACGCCAAACACATCAAAAAAATTTAATTGAATTTAATATTAACTTAATCAAATAGTATTACTAAATCATATTTGACTTGACCCTCCCTTGATTTGTTCGCGTTTGTATTTTAAAGTAAATTGAATTACATATCATAAACTTTTTATATGTATATATATCTAAAATTTAAATTTTTTTTTGTAATTGATATAATATTTTAATCTCTTAATCTCATTTAAATTTCATTGACATTAATAACACTTAATTTATCTTCTTACGCAATTTAGACCTATAAATTTATTGGAGACATTTTAAAATTTTGGGCTGTAGCTGAACACGAGCTGAGCCTGAGTTCAACTCGTTCATTTATATTTAAATAATAAAAATTTCTTCATGTTCAGCTCATTTGCTTAGCGAGTCGAACACGAGTTATTCGCGAAAAAAAAACTGTTTTAACACCCTAGTCACGTAGCAGTTGGATGTTAATAGTTAAGGAGAGATTTTAGTCTTATTATTTATATTAAAACTTAATTTAAATATAATTTAATATATTTTTCTTCTATTTTTTAATTAATAATTTTAATTGATTATGTAGCCTGGCAGTCAATTAAATTATTTAAAAATATTACTAAAGAATATATATATAAGAAAAAATTCCATGTCTTGATTCCACAAGCGCTGAAGCGTAGTTATTTTATAGGCGGAGTCCACCGTTGCAGTCGGGGAGGAGAAACCAAAGGAGGAGACTGATAAAGCCTCGACCAAAGATGCAGAGTCGAAGCCGGAGGCCTCTGAGGTTAAGGCCGAAGCCGTTGCTGCTGCTGAGGAGCAGCAGCAGTGAAGAGAGCTGATGAAGGAAATATTGTCTTCTTGTTCTGTGATATTTGTTGGTTCAATGATCGAATGCTTACATGGTGCATGTGTTTTGAAGGATGGTTTGATTTTCATATTTTGGTAATTTCCTTGATTATCATTTTGTTATGAAGTGAAGGATTTGATTCTTTATTTGGAAGAAAGAATTATTATCTTGGGTTAATGTGTAATTAAGTACTTGTGGAAATATTTATCGATAAGAAACTTTGCTTGGTATGTAAAATCAACATTTTAGCTGATCAAAGGCATAAATGAAGAAGCTTGGGAAAATATGATTAAATCTTTGAGTATGGAGTTGTGAAGGGTGTTCATTTCGTGTTGAGTTTAACGTTAGAATTTCTCCTGTGGCCGTTTATTAGGCTCATTATTTGCTTGCTTCCAATGCATGAATGTTAGATAGAAAGAAAAAAAGAGAAGGCAAATGATACAAATGATGGCAATCTTTGAGGAATAACAATGATAAATGCATGTGATTTTCTCCCTTCTCTTTCTCTCATAAAAAAATGCCTACTACTTTTAGGGTCTACCTTTTGGATTGTATGATATGCAGTTGTAAGTGAAGACTATGAAGCCATGAAGGTGATTGTAACAGGAATGGACATGGGTCAATGTATGAGTAGAAGTTATTAACAAAGAAAACAATCCACTTGTTATCTCATGCAATTGTACATGGATAAACATGGTAAGAGTATTTTGGAAAACGAATTTAGTTACTTAGTTGTCCACCGTTCTGACGACAAGTTTGTATAATTATGTTATTGAGTGTGGATGGCTTTTTTATTGGTTTGAGCATTTCAGGTCTTGTTGTTGCCATTACCCTCATGCAAGATGATAGATCTTGGATTAAATGTTGGCTTTATGTGAAGCTGAACAAATATCATTTTGGATAGAGATTTGGTAAGAATATTTGTTGGCTGATCTTGAGAGTTAATACAATGAATTTGTAT